GAGGCGGAGTCGGTGGGTATTCGAAAGCGTGCTCAGTGCTGGTGACTGCTGTCGTCGTCAACGTCGTGGGCGTCGTGGAGGGTTGCAATAGTTGTTACAATGGAAGTGTTGCCGGAGGCATGAGTATTGTCGTTTGTGTTGTTACCTTCAGTCCAGTGATCCCCGACGAGGACGATCCAAAAGAGACTGAAAATCAGTAGGCCCGGTGCTGGAATGCTCAGCACAAAGTTGTTATATTTTGCACTATCTCTCGTGATAGACACCAAGAAAAAACCTCGCCTAGTGAAAGTTTAGTCGTTGCAACTACCGGAGAGAACGTGGACGGAGCGTGTGGGTCAATGACTGAGTGCGTAATTGGGGCGTTATTTCATGTATGAACGAGAATTTATTCCCATGACACATAAAATTAGGACCTTCTACGGAAAGCGTAGTAATCTGTTACGTTGACGCTTCTGCTGACAGATCGAAGCAAGTAACTCAGAACTCCCCGGCAAAATAAGTGCTGTCAGGTAAGAGAAAACAGAACGGTCCAAAACGCACGTATTCAAAGTCGGAACAACCGATGAAAGAGAGCTAAATTATGCTTATTATTTCAGGTACTTTGGGATTTTGTTTCTTTTCATGATGTGGAATGTCAGTTAATATTTCGAGGAGGTTTGCTTGTTCCGGTCCTCGAGGATGAACAATAGGCCAAATTACCGGAATGTGCAGGTGAAAACTAATTTATTCATAAATTTCTTCCGGCTTTTAAGATAGATGGGCGCAGAAACAACCCTGTTTCGCAGCTTTAATAATTTCGCTTGACATCATCATAGCCCCAGTTGGAACGCTGGAACCATCACTGTCCGTGTAAAGCAACGCAAATTAACAAATGCCAGAACATGTCTGCAATCGTCTGGAGGTGTGTCGTAAGCGCTTTATGGGAGGAACTTGTGTAAACTCTTAAAGAATTGACCTAAACGACAACCAGCAAAGACAAAACCGAAAAAATATGGAATTGCAAACAGGTCAGTCAGTCAGTCAGTCAGTGTATTTGAGGGAAATAGGCTTACGCCTTTGAACTCCCTATTTGTACATAAAAAATCGATAAACAAGCAAAAATGTGAATTAATTACAGCAATAAGTGAATGCACACATTGATTCACATATGTCACTAGTCACGTGGTTAAAACGTCACATAGTCCGCTTGTTGCTGCAGCATATATCTGTCAAGGCGACATTTAAATGTCTCCACAGATTGAGACATAACAACCGTCTCGGGCAGGTTATTCCACGGTTCCACGACACGGTTGGAGAAGAAATATTTTCTCACATTCAGTCTACCCTGTGGTGTTGAGGTGTACAAAAAACAATTGTAATTTAATAAATCAGAAGGCGGTATACACTCACACAGCCGTCGCGGTATAATTCCACTAGCTTTGGCATAGGCCTGCTGCTAATTGACCGTCATGTAGGGTAGAGGTTGGGAGGACATCGAATGCGGGTCGATCCGTACAGTATGTCATCGGGCTAAGTCTGTCCTTATTCAACCAATGATAACCCTGACTACCAACTGGCATCAGAAATACGAACTTACGCGCACACATGCCATCTGTCAATCTGTCAGTTCAGATTGGGCATTTATTCAGTCAGGAATGTTAAAAAACCCATCTATAAATAAATTTTAATTTAATGCCAGTTTACAGGCATTGTCAGGGGAAGCGATTAAACACAAATCCGACCAGCAGTGAAAAAAAACTCCTGAGCTTAAGGCATAAAAATATAGTTGATGGTGGTTTTTGTGGTTTGGAGGGCTCAGGAGAAAAAAACTGTCGGCGGTGGTAGAATATCGACCGTCAAGAAGGGGGGAGGTTGCACGGTATCGGAGATTATCGGACGTCAAATTCCTTTTATGAAGTTGGGGATAGTCAAAGTAGAGGCGTTGCGGAACAGCTGGTGAGACCGGCCATAGTGTTCAGAGACCACAAACGCCATCGGTACGGTACAGTCGATCAGTAGATTCAGCACCCAAAATTTGTGGGAGCTTTTCTGAATGCAAAAATCGAGTAATAGTTCTCTTAAATAAAGGAAAATTTTGCAGAGTTTTCACACTCATGGGTAGTTTATTCCAAATAGCAATTGCATTTACAGAGTAGAACCGACGATATTTAACAGTACGTGCCAGAGGCAGAAATAAGAAGACCTCACGGTGACTGTTACGTCGTGGGTGGATATGATGTCTTAAAGAGGTGAGCGGGTTAAATGTGTGATTATATAAGAGTTAAAATAGCAAAAAATAGTCCCTTTTGTAATCTACGGAACCATAAAGGATCGAGGCCTGTAAGCCGGCAACGTTCTTGGTAAGACAAATGTCGGTGTTCCGGGGTTAAAATTCTCTTGGCAAAAAAGTGTTGAACGGATTCTATTTTCTTCCGCTCAGTAGCACGCATGAGGCTAAATGAAAACGAACAGTATTCCAGACCAGGTCTAACGTACATGTTGAAAAGGCGCATTCTAATGTCCCTAGTTTTAAAATTTCGGAGGATAAACCCGGTCGTTCTACGTGCTTTGGAGACTATCAAGGCACAGTGCTCCGAGAGATTAAGACTCTTGGAGTATGATTCGCCCAAATCTGTTGGTTTCCCGAAGCAAACAAGCTCCGTATGTATGGTAAAGATCACGAACACTCAACCAAGCATAAGGCCGAAGTTGGCCAACTTATAACAGTGATGAGGAAGGATGTCAGACAATGCGCACTGAATGTTAACTCTTGTGGTGAAATGGGCAAACCAGGTTATTGTTAAATGTGGAGTCTGAAGTAGAAGTTACTTCATTCAGTTCTCATCACTGTTCTCCGCAGTTCTATTCTGTTTATGTAAATAGAGTCCAAAGACAACGAAAGCAAACGCCTTTAGTAGGTGGAACTATGAACTAGTTAAACTGGGTATCGGATTATAACTTCTACACAGTATTTCGAAATGTTGGGGAAGGTTGTGGCAAAAATCAAAAAATCGCAGCTGAAATTCATGTGTGCGTAAATTTTTTCGAAACAAAACTTGCCCTCATTTACATTTTCTCGTTCCAATTTTGACAGTTCAACATCATGAGCTGTATTTTTCAGTCTATTTTTGACGTAGGCTACGGTTCAGTTTGATGAAACACGAGGACAGTGTTCGTTACATAAGCGTCAAATGACCGGAAGGCTCAGAAAGTTGACTAGTGCACGATAGAAAGAACAAGAGGGAGGCCGATCCTAGGGAACTCACTGCCACTACATACTAGCACATACCCACCATAGAAAACGTGACGCGCGAGAAATCCTGACCTGGAAGACTGCCAGCTGACTGAAAAATCGGTCCTCGTGATCAGTGCTGCACGCCTATGTGATGTGGGATGTTCAGTAAGGTAGCAGGCCGTGTAGGTGTTGTAGGTCGTATCATGCAAGTGGTAACTGCACAGCATGGACATTAACGGGCACCCAACTCTCATATGTAGCTCCCTGACGCTAGACACCGCCAAGCGGCCATAATCCGGTAAATGTCTTGATTTGCACGCTAAATCAGATGATGGTGTCATGTGTTGTGTGTCCCCACACTTGATTATTCTGCTCTGTCTCTACTCCCCGTCCGACATTCTCAAAAGTCTTACACCGAGGCGACATGCAACCCCATAGGCGGTCAAGTTTAACCCGGATGGCTCCCCACCAAACAAAGCAGATACCCGCAAATGAGTTCGGAATCAGCGTAAGATACCTAAGCTGTCCCCTGCGGGGGAGGGAGAGAGAAGAGTGACCTAACAAATTCAAGTGAAGAATGTGGCTGTCAAATACCGCCTCTGGAGCTGCCACCCCAAGGCATAGCGACATGATGCTGGCGTCACCTTTTCTATACGGAACGATATCATAGAGCGATCGCCCCTTCTACCGCTGGGCGTCGACAATCACATTATGACGCTTACGCTTCGATGGTAAAAAGAACAAATCTTACGAGAAACTGCACGTCGATCTGGTGACTGTAATGAAGGCGGGCAAGGTAGTCGACCGTGACAAATCTAACGCCAGCGTTGGAACTGTCCGTGCTGTCTGGAAGGAGGTGCTGGGTGCCTACGGAATCGGCGGCTGCGACGAAAACAACCTCCCTCTTTGCAAGCCTGTGCGGAGTACCGTATCCTGCTTCCCAATACCTTCTTCCGCCTTCCGATGCGGAATAGGGCGCCCTGGGTGACCCGCCACTCGCGTCGCTGTCAACAGCTGGATTGTATTTTTGCCTGAAGGCCAGCTCAACTGGACGTATTGGTGACCGAGTCGATCTGAGATGAACTGACAATGAGCTCACGGAAGGATCTTTAAGCTGCTTCCGTAGCTTCTTAAGTCTGTTTTTAAGAAAGTGTCGAACAGCGGTGGGCGTTGCCCTCGATTTAAACGTCTTCCTTGGAACAAGGTCAAGAAGTCCTTCTGTTACGCACTGTAATAAATTGTTGAAAAGATGTAGATCATTATTTGAAAAAATATTGTGCCAATCAGTAGTGCTTGTAAAATTATTTACTAATTCCTTGTTGTTATTAGCAAAGTCAAAAATGCTACGTTGTACTGTTGGCTTTGCGGAAATGGCAACAGGAAGATGACAATGAATAACTACATGATCACTTGCAAAAAGGTCATAATAGAGATACAAAGATAGAGGGAAGGTATCATTAATAAAAATTAAATCTAATACACTATAGTTTCTGGTCGAAGTGTGGACTTATGAAGACAAGCTTGAAAAGCGAATGATATCTAGAAGCTTCTGGAATTTAGGAGAGGAAGTATATGCGTGTCGGTAAATTTCTGGCAAAGTAAATCGCCTACGATGATCTTGACATCAGACGAAGTCTTTGCAATTTTTTCAAAGAGTTCACAGAGTTTGGTACGAAGATGTCCAATGAGAACGAGTGGTGCCCGGAACGTCCGCTGGCAGCGTGGACAGGTCGGGGTCTGGTTGAACGTCGGCGTTGCAACATAGGCGCAATTGAGATTTGCGAGCCTAGAGTTTGACTTTGGCGGCGGTGATTCGGCTGACTTCGTAAATCGCTGCACCAGTCTTCAATGTTTCCTTCCAGGTCGGTCGGTCTTGTGAGAGGTCTCCCAGTTGGTCGAGTTGATATGCAGACGACTCAGGGGAGTCTTCAGAGTGCCTTTGTAGCGACGGATTTGGCCTCCTTGTCGACAGGAACGCCCTGCGATATCTCCGTGGAAGAGCCGTTTGGGTAGCCGCTCGTCGCTCATCCACACGAGACGGCCGCTCCAGCTCAGTTTCAGCTGTCTCAGCATGGTGTAGGTGCTGTGGATTCTCGTCCGCTCCAGTGCATGCGTGTTCGGGATCCGGTCCGGCCGCCTCAACTTCAGTATTCGTCGAGGACAGCGGAGGTGGCTGTGATTGAGTCATTGCGCCCGCTTCTTATACACCGTCCAGGTCTCGGCTTCATACAACAGCATTGTAAATCCTCAGTTTGGTGTTACGGTGGGTACTGTGACGGTCCCAGACAGTGTTTTGCAGACGGCCGAAGCTTTTGCTGGCTTTGGAAATCCGGCGGGTTACCCCATCGTCGATTTTGGTGTTGCGGGAGACGGAGCTACAGAGGTAGGTGAATTTGTCCATGGCTTGCAGCTGGGCGCCTTTCACTTTTGTTTGGGGCGCGACGTAGGCAGCGTCGGGTGGTAATTACTGAATGACCACCGTCTTCTCCGTGTTGATGACTAGGCTGAAGTTGTCACAGGTGTCTTAAAAGAGGTCCATGCTCCCTTGTATATCCCCTTCTGAGGTGGCGTTGAGGGCGCAGTTGTCGGCGAAGAGAAGTTAATGGACGGTTGTCGTGGATACACGCGACTGAACGTGCATCCTGCGGTGGTTGAGGAGTTGGCCGTTCGTCCTGTATGCGATGCGGATCCCAGGGCGTTCGTAACGATAAGCATCCATCAGCATGGCAGAAAACATGAGACTGAAGAGGGTAAGTGCGAGGAACAAGCTCTGATTCACTCCTTTGGTCACTGCAAATGCCTCTGAGGCAAATCCAATGTCTTTGACTCGTGCCATCAAGCCGTCGTGGAGCTGACGCACTATCGGAGTGAATCGTTCGGGACAGCCAAATTTTTGCATGATTTTCCACAATCCTTCACGATTTACCGTGTCGAAGGCTTTCGTCAGATCCACGAAGACAGACTATACGTGGGTCTGCATCTCCTGGCACTTCTCCTGCAGCTGGCGGGTGGCGAAGATAATGTCCGTGGCCGCAAGATAACGGCAGAGGCCGCACTTGTTTCCCGTCAGGAGACCTTGTTCCAGATCGTTGTTCAGGCTGTCGAGAAAGATGCGGGCGAAAATCTTTCTGGCAGAGTGATGCCTCGTCGTCGCAAAGCTGGCGACTACATTTCCGCTTACAGAGATGGACTATTGTGGCGTCTTTGAAATCCTGCGGGACGTATCCTTGAAGCCACATCCCCAGGATGAGCGCCGTCAAATAAACCATGAGTTGGGGTCCGCCGTGCTTGTAGATCTCAACAGGGATGGCGTCCGATCCCGGCGCTTTTCCGCTGGGGACTGCTGAAAACCCTGATGAGTTCGTGAAGAGAGAGAGAGAGAGTGAGAGAAGGAAGTGGAGGTCGGCGTTGGTCAACACTTGAGACAGACGGGCGATGGCGGCGTCGGAGATTGTGGAGGGACGGTTTAGAATGCCTCAGAAATGCTCAGTCTATTGTTGCAGAATTTGCGTCTTCTCGGTGAGTCAGGGACTACCGTTGATGTTGAGAAGAGGAGCACCTGCTTTGGTTGGTGGACCGTAGACATCCTTGATCGAGGCGAAGAATTTCGTCCACTCGTTGCGGTCAGCGTGCCCTTGGATCTCCTCGGCCGTGCGAGCCGCCCAAGCGTCCTGAATCTCTCGCAGCCGCTGTCGCAAAAGGTGGTGACTACGGTAGAAGGCTGTTTTGTTGTCGTCCGTGGGACTTTGTGAAAGCGGTTCTTCTCGGTGAGCAAGTTGCTGATGGCGGCGTCGTTGTCGTTAAACTAGTCCTGATTTTGGCGACGTGCGCAACCGAGGACAGCCAGGACGGTCAAGAGGACTATGTCGCGGAGTCGTCACCATCGGTTCTCCATGTGGGCGTTCTCCTCGATGGCAGCGGCAGCGACGGCGACTGGAATGTTGGCTAGTCTTTGAGCTAACTCATTGCTGAAGTGGATATTGTCAGCAGGCAAAGACAACAGAGCAATATTCAGCTTACCTGGGGTTCGCTTACCTTGAGGTCTCCTGCGAGGCTGTAGGCGAATACGCAACTTTTGGATGACGAGGCGATGGTTGGTCCACCCATCGGCACGCGGGATCGCCATTGTCACCAGCACGTCCCGCTGATCTCGCCTCTGGGCTAGGACATAGTCTAGCAGGTGCCAGTGTCACGGCCGAGGATGCATTCATGTGACCTTCTCTTGCATCGGGGCGCAGGTTCGTGGAAGGAGCATACAATCATCATTGGAGCCATCAAGACCATGGAGACCCAGCACTCCTCTCCGGGCAGCGTGGTCTGTGTCGACGCGGACGTTGAAGTCACCAAGAACAGTTTGCATATCTGCCTTCGGAACAAACGCCAGGAGGGTGTGCAGATCGTCGTAGAATTTGTTCTTTACTGCGCCAGGGCTGCTTATCGGGGGAGCGTAGACACTGGCGATGGTGACGAAAATACCTCCCTGGAGAGGCATGCGGAGGCTCATCTGACGATCTTTGATGAATGCAGCGGACAGTGCAGTCGTCCCACAACGCCATCCCGGATGAGAAGGTAAAGGCCTACGTCCCGTCGTTCTGTCTTGGGGCGGACACCTAAGCAGAAGGTGTAGCCGGCACCCATCTCCTCCATTTGGCCTTGTTGGGGGAACCGGGTCTCACAGAGTGCAGCGAGGTCCATCTTGTAGCGCGTCATTTCCCGAGCGACTAGCGCCGTCTTTTGTTCCGGCCAGTTACTCCTGAAAATATCTAAAATGGAGCAAACATTCCGGGCTGCCAGAGTGAGCGGACTTACACTACCAGTCTGGCGAGCGCGGCAGCAGTAAGGAAAAGGGGAAAGAGAGTGTGCGTTGTTTTTGGTTTGATTGTTTCGACCGTGTGTTTTGTCTGTAGGCCACGGTCAGCGTGCAGACGACGTGAATTCCGGCATTATTTTATGGCACCTTTCTAGCCCCTTCCCCCTCTCGGGTGTTAGCAGTGCTCTCCCTAAATAGGGCTGCTCAGTCATCCCAGACGGCCGCCGAACTCCACTATGGGCCACGAATTGGTTAAACGGTGTGCTGATAAATTCAACAGAATGCCATTTAGCTTACAATATGGACGGACACGAATAAGTAGACAAAAAGCAAGCAGGGAAGAATAGCAAACAGCAAAGGCAACACAGACAATTCAACTGAACAGTGTTTAGCTTCCAACGAGGACAAACATAAACGAGCAGACAAATGGCAATCCAGCAGGGGTCACTTATCTTGTGGTCTGCTACGGTGTTGCGATCGGATCCTCATCTCGGAGATGCCGAGGTGGTGATCCATCTGGCCTGCGGAGCCGAGTTACCGTGTGCGGAGGTGAACACACGGATACTCTCGCCGGGTTTGGCCCGCCGGTCGAGGCTGTTACCGGGGTGTGATTGCTAGGCAGAGTTTAACTTTGAGGAGCCACATGTGAGAGTTGAACGCCAGTTAATGGACGGTTGGCGCAGTCTACACCTGCAAGCAATTGAGCGACCTACTAAGACCGTCACGTGGACCCACTACTGGGCACGCTGTGACATGCGCAGACGGGGCTTAGTGCCACATCAGCCATTGTGTCCCAAAACCATCCGCAGTAGCGTTGACCGCATCCTGTGGGGGAGGGTTAAATCAATGTCGCAAGAGTCATTGCCAGTGGGCGGCCTAACATTCTATTTAACGTCATAACTTGATGTCATTGGGGTGAAATCATCGGCGTAGGTGAGGTCAGCAGGTTAGCATCCAGGCGCAAATTGAACGCCGTCGATAGAATAGGGAACCCTTAATAAGGAGGGCAGGGGAATCCCTCAGCTACAGGGGGCCAGATCGTGTGTGGCATGTGTAGACAGATTATTGAGCAATGTCAGCGTCTTGTGCCCAATCCTCCCATCAGATGACTCACTGGCTCGGACAGCGCACTAGTACATGGAAAAAGGAAGAACGCGTAATGTAAGGTCTAAAGACTACATCTCCAGGGCACTTCACCGCATTCTCTATCATAAACAATCTCACATGCCTTTCAACTATTTCGACGCTTCAAAAATCGTGGCTCGGAAGGTTCCCAACTGACCGATAACTCGGTCCACTCAGTGCAGATAGTCAGGCTTGTTCTGAATGTGACCGCTATTGCACTCCTGCTTGGATAGGTTTTGTTGAAACCTGGCCACCTATGCGCGGACCGGACGTGTGTGGCACGCATAGACGGACAGTTTGGCTTTGTTGACCACTGAGCCTGATCCCGACTCCGGTCTTCTTGACCCTGCCTCTACATCTGGTCCAAGTACGTGAGGGAGGGACGGTGACTTTCGCAGGGGTTTGTAGTACCAGTAGACTTGCACTGCATCTACCACACTCTCTCCTCCTCCCCCGCCTGCGTCCGGTGTCAAGACATAGTCAAGAATAGCGGAGACGAGGGAGGCCGCAGGTGGAAGAATGAACGGATACTCACCTTGAAGCTTCACTCCGCACCCCCTGGTCCTCTCAACAAATGGCCAGGATTTGAACCACAAAACAATGGGGTGGTGGCAGTGTTCCCAGTTGTACGACGACTGCCGACAGCAGGGTCCGCCAGCGCACCCCGTAAATGTTGGCATTTGTTATTGCGCACAGGTTACGCCTGCCAGAATCCGATGTGGCCCCCGTGTTGGTCCAGCGCATCTAACACGGGACCCGTTTGGAGGGCACACACACACTACTGTAGGGCACGCGATGGACATCATCTTTTGTAATAATCCAAACAGACATACAGAGACGGACTGGTGGGAGAATCACCGTGAGGGCCTATCAGAAGTCAGAATTACCTTTCCTTATCACCGAGGATATTCTCAGGCAAAAGTCCGAAAGTAAGATTGATATGCTAACTACAAGAGTTGGACTTCCTCTATCTGATAAAGCCACCGGGCGGCGGCTGTTGTCGCCGCGTAGCAAAATATTACTGAAAATTGGCAAAATTTAGAGCTGGCAGGTGGGCATGGAACTGTTGTGGGCGGTAAGTTGTAAGTAGCAATTACCAAGTAGCATGCGCCAACCCAGGCTTCGAACTGTTACATCGGACGCCGCATCCAGTATGTATACGCCACTGGCGCCGCAAGGGTAGGCCAGCCAGTCTGGTCGTTAAACTTTGGACTAACACGGGCTTAGTCAGGTTTTTTTCGTACTTGTGATGGCCCGGCAGCAGATAATGTAACTTCCGGGAGCATCTTGAGCATCACCAAGTGAAAAATGCTATTGTGCTCGTGAAAATCGCTAAGGTTTTGAAGCAGGTCCCACGTGGTCAGCATACTTTCGTAGGCAGAAGCAGAATCCCGTTTCGTACAGTCCGAGTGCGTGGTGTTCGGAAGGGTTGGTATTCTGACGACAGTTCGGCCGTTGCAAACCACGTTGCCCATCGCATACCGCGCAGGGGCATCGACTTGCGCGTGAATAAGTTTACAATGGTGGCGGACTTTCGCTGAGTGCTCGAAAACTCGCACCTAGGTATGCCACCACACTCCCTGGTCCACAACGGACACTGGCCAGGATTTTATGCCACAAAAATAACG